AATAATTTGATTCAATCAACAATTACAATTACAATATTCCAGTGTAGTGAATCAAATTAAATTTTTTATTTTCAATCATATTTGCATTATTATTCTTCAATTATCTTTATTTCAAAATACATAAATTCCAAATAAATAAATAAAATAAAATTAATATTGAAAAAATTTGAGAATAACTAAATACAATTAATGTGAATCAAAATTATAATTGAAAATAAAACCAATTTCTATAATAAAAAATTATTCTAATTACAACAAGTCATTTATTATATAAATAATATAATGTACAATTTGTAATACATTGTCTATTATATACTTTAATTAATAAAAAATAAATAAACTGATTTAATATATTTATAAATTATAACTAAATGTTGTACAATAAACAAAAAAAAAAAATGAACAAAAATATTTAATATTTTTAAAAACAAACAATAAAACTATATGCATAAATTAATAAACAGATTAAAATATTTAATTAATAACACTTAAAAAGTGAAAAAGAAAAATAAATACAAAAAAACACAAACACACATAATGGTTCAAAAATAAATCAATTAAAATATTATTATGTATGTATTTTATTGTAAACAAAAATTTATTATTATTTTATTAAGAACAAAACAAATTGCAAATAAAAAATAATAATGCAAATAAATTTTATATAATATAGTGTAATCGATAATGTCTTAATCGATATTACAGTAAATAAAAGCATTGTAATTTTTTGATGTTGTCAATATGTCTACAGCTGTACCGTAATCTATAATCTCAAAAAATCCAAATGTCACGTAATTAATATAATTTCAATTGCCGATTTATTGTTAAAATTCATTAATGAAATAGCAATGAAATTTCAATTAATATTGTTAAATTTTTGTTTTTGGCATTTCTGTAATAATTTCAACTGCTTAATTTGGTTATATTTTTTGTTTAAAATTAAAAATTTTTGAAAAAGAATAAGAATAATTTATCTTAATGGAAATTTCTTTATGCAACTGCAGAACAGATGGATGACGTAATCAAAGGAACGAGTTTAAGGCAGTTCCTTTGATTACGTCATCCATCTGTTCTGCAGTTGCATGAAGAAATTTCCATTAAGATAAATTAGTAGTGTAATAAGCACATTCTTATCAATTCCGCAACTATGATGTTGTATTAGTAAAATTCATAAAGAATAATGTAATTTAATGGATTTTTTTTTTTCCTAGAAATTTTCAAAAATCAAAAATAATTTTGTTAGTAAAGCCCATTGTCAATCGGATTATGTGGAAGTTTTTTACAAACAAAAGTATCTGATTGGTGAACAGATCATATATGCAAATAATTTTTGTCGACTGGCATTTTTGATATTATCGATTACATTTATATGCATACATTATATATATGATTATGTATAATGCAATATACAAATTCTAAGTATTATTTAAAAAATATATGTACATATATATATATATATATATATGTACATTTTTTTTTATTTCTTTAATTTATCAAATAAATGAAAGATAAACTCAAACCATTCCAAAAAAAAAAAAAACAAAATTTTGTTATTGTATAGATTTTTCTATTCTATATTTAAATTAATACTAAAAAAAAAGAAAATAATTCAAAAAAAAAAAAATAATATTTCCATTTTATAAAGAAATATGTACTAAACGTACATACATACATACATAAAATATATATTTCTTTCTATATTTTTTTAATTTAATTTTCTTTTTAATATTATTTTATTTTTTTTTTTTTACTTTGACATTAGATATTGTGATTTAAATATAATATAAAATATAAATTTAATAAAATATTTTTAAATATATTTTAATTATTTTTTTGTGCATTAAAATATACTTACATTATTAAAATAAAAATATTGAATTATATAAAACTTTTAATTATTAAAAACGAAAAAAATAAACACAAAAATATATAAACTAATAATTACATTATAATAAATTAATATAAATATATAAAAACAAAATTTTTAAGCTTTTACAACAAAAAAATGTGTATTTCTTTGATATATATAAAACAAAACAAAACAAAAAAAACGAAAAATATTTACATGCAAAAATTAGTAAAATAATAAAAAAAAAAAAGAAATAACGAAAGTATCTGAAATAAATTTGTAATAAAAAAAAAAAAAAACAATATAAAAATATATATATATAAATAAAAGTACTAAATAAAATTAAAAATAAAATTAATTAAATTTTACAAAATAAATAAGCAAAAAAAATATTATATAACATACAATGCCTAAAAAATAAAACAAATAAAAATAAACATACGAGATTTTATATTAAAAAATATAAAATAACTAAAAATAAACAACAATCATATAATATCAAAATAATATTTATAATAAAAAAAAATAATATAAATATAAAATAATGTTTAAAATAAAACATTTGAAAAGAACAAAATTTATTTGAATTTATAAAAAAAAAAAAGATCTTTAATAATTAATATTTGAAATTTAGCTATTCAACAAATATGTACATAATATTTAATATTTATAATATGAATAATATTATACACATATATATATACATTATATATTTCATATTTTATAATTATAATATAGAAATAATATTCAATTATGTATTACAACCAATATAAATGTACATAAAAAATAAAAACAAATTAAAAAAAAATATGAATGAATTGAGAAAAAATATATATATATAATTAATTTTTTTTTTATATATAATAAAAATTTTATTAAAAATTCTATGCAAAAGCTATATATATATATATATATATATATATATGTAATAATTATTATTATATTATACAACTTAAGAAATATAAAAGAAAAAAAGATATATACACTAAAAAGATATAGGTTCCAAAAAAAAAAAAAATTAAAATGAAAATAAATATAAAATAAAGCTACTCTCTGAACATTCCAACTTATGTAATAATATGATGGTATTCTAAATTCTGTTTCATACAACAATAATTTATATTTGCAAAAACAAAATGAAATTAAGACAAAAATTAAAAATTTTTTGTAACTAAATTGAAAAAAAAAAAAATTAAAATAAAATTATAATATAAATAAATAAATAAAAATTATAATTGGTATCATAAAAATTTATTAATTTGAATTTTTTCATTTTATATTTTTAAAATCCTCTAAACACAGTTATGCTTTTAAAATATATAATAAATGTAAGCTTTTCAATAATTTCAAAGTTTTGGAAATTCCAAACTTCCAAATTATTTAGCAAAGTTTCCAAATTTTGCAATTCTCATGCTAAATGATAAAATATGTTAAGTGTGAGATCAATATATTTAGCGTGAATTCGAAATTTGACAAATTCTATTGAAAAAAAAAATATTCAAGCTTACTTATATAATATTTGCTCAAACATATAAATTCAATTGTTATTTTTTAATATTAAAATGTATGTACAATAATATGCTTTTTATATAAATTTACAAAATAAAATATTTACTAAAATGTATTTAACAGAATTGAAAATAAAAACACAAAAAAAAAAAAAACCATTTATTTTGCATAGTTCATACTTTTGAGTTCTTATTATCTCTGTATGTAAATAAATTATTTATTATGTATTAAACAAAATAAAAAAAAAATAAAAAAAAAAAAAGGATACAAAAATTAAAACAGAAATTATAAGAAATAAAAGTTTAATTCAAAAGAAGAAATTTATTATAAAAATGAAAAATAAAACTAAATAAAATAAATTCAAACTAAAAATTTAAATAAATAAATACAAAAACTTATATATAAATATATATTTTTTTAATAATCATTTATATATATATATATATACACATATATATATATATATGTATATATAAGTATATATATATATATATATATGTATACATGTACAATTTCCAAAAAAAATAAGAAAAACTATAAATAAATATATATATATATACATAAAGAAAATGTAAGACAAAAATGTAATAATAACAAAATATATATAAAATATAAAAAAAAAAATTAAAAAAAAAAAAAAAAATAAATAAAAAAAAAATCGTATAAAAATCAAAATTTAAAAAAAATATATATGTACATATATATGTATACGTATTTGTTCATACATATATGTATATATACACATATATATATATATTTAGATTATTATTATTATTATTTTAATTATTATTATTATGATTATTAATATTATTATTAATATAAATAATTAAAAACAAAAGAAAAACTAAATCGATGTTATATATACGTATAAAATATATATATTAAAAACAAAAATAAACAAAAAAAAAAAATATATGCATTTTTTTTTTTTATTTTTGCCTTAATTATCCCTTTTATACCAATTGTTAAAATATGGGAATGTTAAATAATTATGTACAGTGCAAATTTGTTCTTTGTCGCTCACATTTTAATTCTAGAACTAAATTTCAATAATATTCGACTTACTCAACAATTGTTAAAACTGTATTATTGAAAAAGTCTTGGCTGAACTGAGCATTTACATTTTTGTAAAAGACCCTTAAAGTTTTGTAAAATAATTTTTTTCTTTCAGTTGTAGTCATGTTTCCTCATAATTTTATCCAATAATTATTTGAAAATAAATGAGAATGATAATAATTTTTTGACACTATAATTAAAATTACAATTTAATTCAATAATTAAAGCCCTCACGATTAAGCATATCAAGTAAGATAAGATCTTAATATTTTGCTTTATGGTAAGTATTTATTTGAAAAATATCATTATTAAAACAATGTGATAGAAAATAACAAGAATCATAATTATCATGATGAAAATTTAATAAATTAATTATTGAGAATTATAGATGACAAAAATTATGTTCTAAGAAGTTATTGTTCACGTACGTATCATTTCGGGAATTTTATATAAAGAAGGTATATATATTAGAATTATGATAATTAAGCTACTATTCTAATATAGTAATTCGAATAATTTATTTCAATATTCAATATACGATTCTTGTAAGAAAAATTGCAAAGCACCAAACTCAAGAACGTACCCCTTAAGTATACCGACCAATGATTAAATAATCTGTCCTTAAAAATTTCAACCTAAAAATTTAAAAATTTGTAATATAAAATACAATAGTTAAAATTTCGATGTTTTATTACATAAATCTACATTACACTCATAATATTTTACTTTTTCAATATTTATTTAAGTATTACTAGTTTACTAACATATACATATATTATAAAAAGGTCAAATATGAAGCAACCAAACACATATCCACTGTTGTTTATATAATATAATTTTTTTTACTATATTAATAATATTAAACTTCTATATTTAACCCTATAATAATTACCATGTACAATAAAAAAAATTGGCTTAGTTTCACTATATTTCCGAAATAATTTTTGTTTTTGATAAACGATTTATAAGAAAAGTTAATGAGCATTATTTCAATCCTTTTTAAGTGAATATTCATATTCATACACTTGTTTTAAATTCAGAATATCAAAACTAAAAAAAAATAAAAACAAAACAAGAAGGTACGTAACCTAACTATAAAAAGAACTAAATTTTAAAATAAATTAAAAGGAGCAAATTTGTCTTACCTTGACAAATTTTTTTACCATAATATACAATATATGTATTCACATATTAATAAAAAAAAAAAAAACCTAAATAAAATTGCTAATTGATGTATAAAAAAATTAAGAATTTAATTTTTTAGTTGATTTTTCCCTAAACTTATTCAAATTATTTTCACAGCCCATCAGAATGACTTGTCTGTAATTGTTCTATTGATACGGATAACATTTCAAGACGTTGAACTAATTGCATCATATTTTCTTGAGCTCTAGCCGCAGCTGAGTTTAAATCGCTACCATTTTCCAAAGATTCTTCTTCTGCAGTTGCTAATTCAAAATGTAATTTTGCTAGACTTTCTTGTTGCTCACGAATTTTATTCATTTGTTCCATTGTATTACCTGAACCTAAAATATATATTGAATTAAAATGTATGCATTTAATCAATGAGAATTATTTCTATATTGTATGCACACATACCAAACGCTTTAAGTTTCCCTGAATGAAAATCATCAAGTAATCCTAATAGAGCTTGTTCCATATGTTTAACATCAGGTTCTTCTGAGATAAAAGAATGATGTTTAATTGTTCGATCATCAGAATTGTGATTTTTTGATAATACGCTACTATTTGATTTGCCTTTTACATTATTTGTGTTTTCTTTTATTTTTTTTTTTTTTAATCAAATAAATGAACAAAAATTTGAAGAACATAAACAACAAATAAAAAATAAAACAAAAAAAAAATTAAATTAAACAAAATCGTACAAAATAAAAAAAAAATTAATTATATAAGTACCTATTAAAATATACATTCTGTACACATAAAAAAAACTAACAATAAAATGATATTATTACATAAATAAAGTATTTTACATAAAAAAAACACAAAATTTATTTAAATTACAATTAATAATCCAAAAATACCTATGGTTTCCATAAGTAATTATCAGTATTGAAGTAGATACAAAATTATAAAAGTATACTAGTATACAAACCTTTAAGAAATTTCCTCGGTGGTAATTTGAAATCAAATCTTGATTCATCATTTCTCAGCCGTCTCTCATTAACATATGTAACTCTAGCTGTAGTTTGTCCTTTCTCTGAAGTTGTTTGTTCAATAGAACAGGAAGCTGAAGCAGAATTAGGACTTCTTGTTGTATGAGTTGTTTCATCATTACTAGATTCACTTTTTATCTACAAAAAAATTGTTAAAATCTATATTGTTTATATTATTTGTTTTTTTTTGTACGTACCTTTTTAATAATAACTGGAGAAACTGGAATTGGTGGTGGTGATTTTGGATGTGAATTATTCACATTTTGGCTATTTGGTTCTTCTTCTGTTTCCCCATCGTTCACAAGTTTCTCTCTCTCAACAAGATCTTCATCATTAGATTCCATAATACTCTTAAGCTTATATCATTTTATCGATAATTAATTATTTTCGTTTTGAAATACAAAAAAAAAATATCAATTAATTAATATTAATTTTAATGATTATTTATGAACACAGAAATTAGCTGTGGACTTGACATATGACATTTAAATAAATGTAAAAAAAACTGTTAATGTCAAAATGTTAATTTGATTAGGGTACGTTTAGAAACGCTAAAAATGGTAGTAGAAATGGCACTTTTTCTGACATTTCATTTTGAAAATTGAAATACTTACCTTAAAATTAATAACGTTTCAGAATTTTTATTATCAAAATGTACTCTTAAATTTAAGATCGCAGCTGCAAAATAAAACATTCAGAATAAAATAAAAGAATAGCAATTTATTTTACATTTACATAAATGAAGAAAGTTTTACTTTTGTGGACTATTAAGAATTTGATTTTGTTTTAAAAGTGATTCAACCTACCTTATTTTCATTAATTTTAATATATACATATCTTATTGAAATGGAAAAATACATATTTATTCGAATTTTGTAATTAATTGGATTTCGAAAATATTCTGTTCTCGACATGTCTTAACAATGAATACGTCAGCACATACAAATTTCATATTGGAGTGTGTTTCCACATTGTGTCTTATTCCTTTTGGCAAATTAACTACCATTAAAATTATACTCTAATCACCAATAAAATTATATTATACATACTTAATGAATTTTTCTATGAAAGTTCGTACATTTTGAAAAATTCGTAATATGTTTCGAACACCTAGCCTAGAATGTTATAAAGTTCTCTGCTGATCTTATCGAGAGAATGGATCATGTATGCATATTAAAATATAACATATTAATTGCAGTCATATTAATTGAAATATTCATAATTTTTTTTACTTAAAAGAATTTCTTATGTTGATTAATTCATAAAACGGTATTATTATAAGATTCGTACTATAATTACCCATATAAATTACCCATATGTACAAAATTATGTATGTATACATAACATTAGATACACATTGGTTTTTTATTTTCTGCACTATTTGAACAAGTACAATTTTTTTTATTAATAATACTTCAACTTTCGAATAATTTTCTATTTCATTTACGTTTACTTATCCAATTTTTTATGTACAGATTTATTATATAACAATTTTGTTTTATTCTTCTAACCGCTCTTCTTCTTGAAACCCATTGTATAAACCATATGAACAATTCCTACGATTCCAACACCACATAAAGCTACAGTTAATCCAAATAATCCTCTATCTAATGGGCCACCCTTTAGAAAAACAGGTAAGTCATTCTTAGCCTGAAATTTAAATTTAAAATGTTATCAGATTTCCTCTAATACCTATATTTATATGCATTTCATACATACATTAACATTTACAGTTAATTTTTTAATTAGTTTCCTTTAAATTTATTTACTTACTTGAAATTTTGTATAATTTGCTTGTAATTTTTCTGGTAAAGCCATTATTGTTGTGATATTTATTTCAAACCTGAAAATATTATGTAACTTAATAATTTTTTTAAGTAAACTTGAATTTTATAAAGAAAAAATAATACTAAAATCTAAAAATATTAATTATAAATTTCAATACAATTTTATTATTTTATCAAACAATTTTATTTTAGAATAAAAAACAAAAAAATTCAAGAAAATAACACTTTTGTACTGTGAGTGAACCTTAATGAAAATTATTTTCTTAATTTCTATGTTATTTCTTCCGTAGAGTATTTAAGAAAATATGCTTTTGTATGTTATGATCTATAAATAAAAATTTATACAAAACCCATACCTATGCTTTAGTAAAAAAATCTAAAGACATGCAAATATCGTAATTGTTTAATTGCATATTATTGCAGTTTTTATTTATACATATATGTAGTTAAAAATAGAATAAATCAAATTTGAAATATGTAAGTGCAACATATGTGCACAATATGTGATTGCATTATCATATGTCACACGGACAAAATTTGTTAGATCAACCATTATCATTATTAAGTGAGACGTACATTAATTTATAATATTAACACACTTTCATAACTCATTCATAATCGATAGACACCAAAAACTGCAATTTACAAAATAAAAATTTTTACAGAAATAATGTACTGTGTGTAAAATTATAAATTTTATATCTTATGCTTTTATATAAAACTCTAATCACAGATTTCACTCATTCTCATTAAGAATGCAATTAAAAAAATTGTGGCAAATGGCTGTCCAACTTACGGAATTAAAATTATCTAGAATTATTCAGCAATACATTTCAGAAATTCTATTTGCTGAATAAGTCACATTAACGATAGATTTACATTTTTATGTTAACTTAACATTTTTCTAATTTAAAATCAAATTTTTTAATTGTATTTAATATTTTTAAAAAACAACACTCAAAAGGACTACCGAAACAAAGTGACAGGACAGATCCAATAAAATGAAAAATAATTTTTCGCCCTACTTCCTAAATCAGTGGGTGTCAAAGCTGTGTTATTTTCTGAAAGAATTCATTTTTCTTTTTTATATTTTATAATTGAAAAAATATTATGTTAGGTAGATGAACTTGGTGAACTAATTTTAAAGGCAACGAAATTGTTATATAAATGCCTTTAAGCCTCATGTTTAAGTTGATTGTATTTGAAAAGACTTTACTAAACGAAAACGAAAAAAAAGTCCAATTTTTTTCCATTCTTTTCATAATTTAGCGTTTTTTTTTTCATATACTATTTATTTTATTGTAGTTTATTATTAACTCGGTGTCTATTTTAATTAATTGGAATTATATAACGTATGTAGTTCCATTTCTTCTCTAATTTATTTTTATATCAAATTAAATTTTATGTTAGGCCTCAATAAATTCATTGATGTTTGCTCAAAGTTACAGACAATTTTGGTGGGCTAACATAAAATAAATTATTAACTTCTAATTTGAAGAAGCAAAAAAAAAAAAAATAACAGATTTTGAAAATTATATTGTATTTATAACACTTGTAATAATAATCAAACATCAACAATTTTTGGCAACAGCAATTTATTACTTTATTATAGAAATAATATAAATTTACAAGTTTTTAAATATACTATAAAACATTAATACAAAAATAAATTACATAGTTAATAATTTATTTTATAATTTTGTTATTTAATCATATCTATTTCAATTTTTCAATGAAATTGAATAAAATAACATAAAAAATTAAGATATTATTTTATAAATATAATGTGAACAATTAAAAAAAAAAAAAAAACAAGCAATGAAAAATTAAAATACAATATTATTAAATTTTATATTTGAATAATAAATTTTGAGTTATTATTATTTATTATATAAAATACAAAAACAAAAAAAAAAAAGAATATTTATTCACTGGCTATTTTCATTATAGTTCTTTTTTTTTCTTTTATATAATAAAAATTAAAATAAAATGTATTAAAATTTAGTCAATTATTGAATAAGTTTTATTTTATAAATTTATTTTTTTTTTTTTCCATTTTGTTTAAATATGTATGTTAGAATACAATTAATTGAATTGATATTTTTATTTTATTTTTCAGTCATTCTAAGCGTTTTTTTTTTTTTTTTTGTTTTTATATCCCACCATATTCATATTATATAAATAAGTTAAATTTATTTATTAAATTTGTTGTAAATATTTAATTTTATTTTATTTTTTGTATGATGTAATTTTTTTTGTAATATAAAAAAAACAATGAAAAAATATTTGTAATATTTTTAAAATTTATGAATGCCATACAAAGGCTTATTTGATTATAAATTGAATATTATTCATGTCTAATGTATTTTTATTTTAAAAATAAAGTAAAATTGTTTCAAAATTATTTTAATTTTATTGTAAGCATTTTCATTAATTTCAAAAAAAAAAAAACAAATAATTGTGCAAAAATTTTCATAAGTAAGTTTTTCAAGATGTCTCGCACATACATACATATTTAAATATATTGACATTTTTATTTATTTCAGTTCTAATAATATAATAATTTTATTATTTTTTAATAGAAATTTGAATAAGAAACAAAAACAAAAAAAAAAACAATAATATGAGAAAATCTATTGTTAATCAGGTAATTCAAGCTAAGGACACAATTACAATTTCATGTTATTAACTTAAGGAATTTTATATATATATACATATATATATAAATATAAATATATATTTTTTATTGATTTTATTAAATTGTTATTTTCAACATTGCAATATCAAATTACAAAATTTAAGTGAAATGTGAAAATAAAAAAAAAATTTAAATATTGTAAATATTTAATTTTAGTTTCCTTTATTTTTTTTTTTCTTCTTTTTTTTTAATTTAAATTATAGGATTTTGTTCAATACTTTATATAATAACTATTTATTTACTATAATTATATTATACATTCTTAAAAATAAATTAATCTGGGTGGGAGAAAAAAAAAACGCAATATTTTTAGATTTAATAGAAAAAAAATTGAGAATTAAAAATAAGTAATTATTAGAATATAACATTATTTATTTATTGTAAAATTGTTATTATTTTATTATAGTTAATGACAAAAAAATGACATAATTTCTTAAGTAATTTTCATAATTCAAAGCTCAATATTGAAATAGCTTTTATTTTATTACTTTTAGTCATATTTTTTTTATTATTTTTTTTTTTTTTTTGTTTTTTTTTCTACTTCACATTACCGAGTTTAATTTTATTTTTCAATTTATTTATTTTTTTTTAATAATATTGTAATAGTCTATATTAAATACAAATATTAACAATTATTTTTATGTATATATATATATACATATATATATATTTATAGTTTTTGTTCAAATTTTTAAGAATGCTATTTTGTAAATATACTATATAATAATTATATAAACTATTAGGCTAAAATAACAACACAAAATTTAAATTTAAATTGTAAAATGTACAAAAAAAAAAAAAATGAAGAACATTTTTGTTTATTATTTTTTATACATTTACCGTATTATATTTTTTTTTTATTTATTTTTAATTTGTCTTTATATATATATTAAACATTTATAAATATATTATTTATATTACTATATTTATAATTAAAAATGTTTTCGTTTTTTCTCTTTTTTTGTTTTTAATATATAAAATAAAATTCAAAATATTACAATAATAATGTTTGTATAATTTTTCAAAATTTACAAATTTATAGTTTAAAATTAATAATTAATAATTATGTACATTATTTATAATTACATTAAAAAAAACATTTTTATATACTTGCATTATAATTAAACATTATATTATTTATAAAATTCATTATCTTTTGAGAATTCAAATGTTTTGAGTTCGAGAAATATACAAAATATATATATAAAATTAAATATATATATATTATGTATAAAACAAGTGTATGTACTGCTAAATTATTACTTTTATATCAGAAATTTAGTATTCTTTTAGATTTTTATATTTGTTGTATAGAAATAATTATAGACATTTAAAAAAAATAATAATAATATTTATTAATTTTCGATTTATAAAATTTATAATAATATATTCTGTTTCAAATTTAAAAAAAAAAAATTATAATATTCGACGATATTTCACTTATATTGTTTTTTGAACTTTCCATTGAGTTTTTCATAACAACAAAAAAAATAAAATATATTTTTTTAATACAAATTATAATATTTTAATAATAATTTTTTAAGATATGTTTTATAATTATGTTTTAAAATTAAGAAATAAAAATAAATTTTCCAATTACAAAATCAGGCTATAAAATTCAATTCAATTTTTAAACTAAATTAGAATAATACAGGCATAGGAAAGTAATGAAGTTTTTAAAATACTTATATATGGTAAAATAAATGAAAATCAAATTTATTTTTATATATATTATAATTATAATTAAATTATAACAATTTTTTTAAAATTAACAATTAATTATTGTTACATAAAAATCTATACGATTTAATACAGCATTTAATATTTTCAGACAATTGTTTTAGAAGAAGAAGAAGACGAAAAAAAACTCACATTTAAATAATATTAAACCACAATGCAGATTAAACTTATTTATTGATTCTATATAGCATATACTACATATATTTCTGTGCCCCTCATATTTCTCATATTTCATCAATAGAATATGGTTTGTTGTTTATTACTTTAAATATTCTTTTAAATGTCTTTTTTAATTTTCCTTCTATATCAAATTTTTGCTTTTCTTTTATCTGGCTAGATTTTTCTAAATCACAGACTTAATCTAATTTACATACTAATACGTTAAAGCTGCACAACATTAATATTGTATATGAAAAAAAATGGAAACTATAGAAAACATGTTTCTCAGCATAATATTATTAATTATAAATTATTTATTTAATAAAATTTTTAACATATCGTACTTTATTATTCCAATGAAATAGTAAATTTGAGACATAATAAAATATGGAATATATTGTTTATATAATAAAAATAGTAAAAAAATAGTTAAATTATCATATGCTTTTCGAAAATTGATGAAGAGCAGAACGATAGCGTTTTTTTTTTTTTATAGAAAAAGACATGAAAAATTAATATAATATTAAAGTATTAAACTGTGTTCTTTATACTCTTTCCGTGCTAACATATTTTTTAAATAAATTATTTGACGGCAGACTAATATTTCCAATTATAAGTATAAATCAGTTGTATTTTAATTATTCACGTTTTTTAATTAGTACTCGTATAATAATATTACAAAGCATTTGTTCTTTTTTTTTTCTTTAAAAATTTAAAAAAGACGAAATTATTGCCTATTCTTATAATCTGTTTGTTCAATTTATAAAATTCTTTGTTCTTGCAATAATGATAAAACATTTTAATGCTAATATTTTATTAATAATATGTATTTACATAAAAATTAATATTTATATATTTTTATATTAAAGTATGTTACATATCAATGTAAAAAATATATTTATATAACAATATATATTTTTTGTTTAAAATTGTGATTTAGAAGTTTTTGTAATTATTTGTTAAAATGGTTTCTATTGATATAGTATAATTAGTAATTTGAAAAATTATTGAAACCTTGTTTTCTATTTTCAATTGAATTAAAATTTGAAAAATTTAATAAGAAATAATATCAATAAAAATAAATTAATAATCTTTCTCAATTTAAAAAAAAAAAATTTGAACAAAATTTACTTTTATAAATTATTTATAATATTTAGGTTTAGATCATGCACTATTAAATATTTTAATATTATTGTAAAATATCAAAAACATTTTATCAAATATTTATTTAAATTGTATGTATATTTAAAAAATAAAAAAAACATATAATACCAACAAAGCAACAATAGTATGTTGGTTGAGTATTAACAGTAGACGGTTTTGATAAATGTGTTATTTTATTAAGTTATATTTAATTGTTGACAGTAAGACATAAATTAATCAAAACATATAATATTGTTAAATTAGTAAACCAATATGTACATATATATATATATCGCGAGTTTCTAAAATCCCAAAGGATATGCTTGTAAATATATAAGATCGTTATAGTTACCCTTCAAATTAATAGATTTCAATATCATATGAAAATCTTGTCTTAAAAAATTGGATTTAAAATAAAATTTTATTAATTCGTATACAAGCGATAATTTATAATTTTATATATAATTTTATTCCATTTACTGTAGAAATAATTTTTTTCTTTGTCAGAGGCATTGCAATTTAAACAGGTAGGTTTATATAATAACACATTCTTCTGTATATGAAAAGTTTTACTTATTCGTAAAATTATATAATTTTTGTATATTTTGAAATTCAATTAATTGTAATTCATTTCGTTAAAGAAATTTTTACTATTTTATCTACTATTTTAAACTTTTTAATGACAATAATTCAAAATGAAAATTTTAAATAAATGTAAATTTGCAAGATAATTTATTCTTTCCGAAAAAGTTATTTGTTCATTGAAATGAATATTGTAATTTATATTATTTTTTGTAATTTTATTAATAAAATATTTTCATATGTTAAAACTAGAAAAATATCACTATTTATAAGTTTTATTTTGTCTCTTAAAACAATACAACCAAGAATGTAGTTTCGGCTAATTGATTTGCATGCACTATAAACCTCCAAAAATAAAATTTTTTGCAAATATTTTATCTTTGAAGCAAAAAATGTTTATTATATTAAACAAATTCGAGCTTGGTTTATTTCTATTTTTCTAAAATTAAAAATAAGAATATTAAAATATTTATAGAATAAAGTTTATTTCGAATTAGTTATACATTTAATTTTTAAAATTTTTAAAACTAAAATACTTTTTGAATTTTGGTTTTTTTTTTTTTTTTTGCGAAGGAATGTAAAAATTATTATAAAATATATAAAATAAATATGCATGTACAGAATATTATATTTTCTCAATTCTTATAAATATTGGATTTGAAATAATTTGATATTCGAGATTCTTGTGATTCGATTTTAAATTACGAGAAAGGAGATTTTTGTATTTTAAAAATACCTGTTAATTAGCTACTTACAATATTTTTATTTATAATGAGAGATTGAAAAATTAAGGTAAAATTGGAACTTGAAATAAATTATATTTAATTTTTTTTTTTTCCTTTATGGATTTATGTTTTTTCAACAAGAGATTTTTTTTAATAATAGCGATTTTAGTACCAAAAAAATACTTTACTTGAAGTTAATTTTTATGAATTAATACAATGCAATACGAACTTCAAAAACTACCAAGCTCAAATTATGATTAAAAAACCGTATTAGCATTTAGGGTTATGTAAATATAATATGTATTTTAATAAGATTCAATTTTTATGGTTTAAAAACTCTATTTTTCTCAATTAAAAACATATATAAATTTTATATTTAGATCTGTATTAAAAAAATATAAAAATAAATGTAAAAAGCCTAATTCAATATTAATTCAATTGATACTATTTGTATCAATGTCAAACAAAGAGAATTGGATATTTTTTTGAAGAAAAAAATCCAATTCTCATTGTTTGACATTATTTGATAATATTTAATAATAAAATACTTATTAAAACAATAAAGATTAAAAAATTTTACTTAAAATTTAGAATTAGTCAAAAAAAAAACAATGTAAATATATAAGAAAACTGTTTCCTGGTTGTAAAAATTTGATCCTTAAAATAAGTTTTTCTATTATAACAATAATAATTAATATATAAAGTAAAATTATCAATTAATTACAATAACTTTGTTCTTCAGTATATTATATAAATATGAATTTTTTTAAAATATTATAAAAACATTAACTGAACTAATAGTGATTTCATTTTAAAATTAGATTTAAAAATCTTAGATATAAAATTTTTTATTTTAGAAACAACATTTACAGTATATTTAAACATGAATTTTATCATATTTAAATATCTGTTTTATAGGAAATATATTTGTTTTTGAATAACAAACAGGTATTATTTACCGTGATATCGCTACATACAATTCATTTTACATTCCCTTCCTCATTTCTTCGTTTTTCCTCTCAAGTTATTTAAAAGCTAACAGGTAAATCAAAGAAATGGGAAAAACTTACAAAATAGTGCAGTATCAAATACATATTTATATTACATTTTTAACAGATTTCAAAAAAAATTTCATTGGATTAGTTATTTTTTATGTGATACGATACTTCTCGGTGATATGATATTAATTAAGTAATTTGTTCAATCAAAAACTATTATGATTTTTAGGCTAACATAATTGTTGTATAATTAATTAAAGTAAAAAATGCAAAGAGAAACAATTATAAAAATTTTTATTTTTAAAAAGAACTAGAAATTTGATTTTAAAATTCCAATATGAAATTATATAACAAAAAAAGAGTTTTATTTAATTAAAAAACTTTTAAATATGATATGAATAACGTAGAAGACAAATATGTAGATTATTTTCCAAATGATTCCAAATGTATTTAAATTAGTTTTGTTTTTATTTTTTAAATATTTAATAAATTCGTACTCATATTTGAATTAATAGTAGTAAATTAAAAATAAATATTTATATACAGATTTATATGTATGTATATATATATATATATATTCATTTAATTTTAACATTTTTTAATAAATTGTTTTTTTAATTTTATTTTCTGAATTTTATATACGTATGCGTTTTATTAATATTTATTAGTTTTAAAATAAAAAAAAATAATTATTTTTCAAAGTAAGCTTGTATTTTATGTATAATTTATATTTTATTTTAATTATAATATACATATATATATATATATATATATATATACAAGTGTATTTTTTATTTTAATTTTATTTACTGATTTACCTAATAGTGTGTAGTAATAATAGCTAGGTATAGGACTAAAAAAAAGTTTTCTTGCTATTTAAATAATTGTTTTATATAATTTTTCCAAATTTTATTTTATACATTTGAATGAGTTCCAACGCTATTAGCGGAACCACCAGTAACATTTGTTGAAATATTTCCACTACCACTGATTCCACCAGTTTGAATATTAGAAACAGTTCCAGTACCAGTATTAGTTAAATTAGTATTTGAAGTTAAATTACTGCCAACATTACTTAAACTATCTAATTTACATCGTGCTTCTTCTTTACGTTCTTGAATTTGCAATAATTCTTGACTTAAATCATTGCATAATCTTAATAATAAAATATTTTGCTCCCTAAGATGCCGTAATATATCAACAACATTTTTATCCAATTTATTATTTATACTGTTATTACTATTACTATTATTGTTTGCTAATGAAACGTGACGTAATTGTTCACTTATAGCCATAACACGTTTTTCGTAATCTATTGAATTTGTATTCAGTGCTGCTGTATTTATTGATACTGATGAATTACTACTATTCGTTGACGGCATTGTATTACCAGATATCGATAAAGTAGAACCAGGTCCAATATTAGCATTTGGTATGGTAATACCACTAGAACAATTTCCACTAACGGATATTTGCTGCTGTAATGAAGAGGCAACAGATGGAGGTAAAGATTGAAAATGTTGTTGATGATATTGTGACGATGATGATTGGGGATCTGGTGGTGATTGAGAGTTTCTTGGAGTATTTGGTTTACGATATACTTCAAAAGCACTTGCTCGCTGACTTGTTTGTAATGAAGATATGGTGGGACGCGGTGGTGGTGGGATTGATGTTGGTATTGATTGTATAAAAGATGTTGATGAAGCATTTGTTTGCGATGATTCATAACCAATATACGAAGTAGAAAGTTTATCAGAAATCATCTTTATATCAATAAAAAACAAAATGGACAAAAGTATACAAAATTGTTAAATTAATTAAAATTCAAATCAAGTTTTCTCTTGTGGAAGTTACTATTGAACATAATTATTATTGTGCAAAAAATGAAATAAATTCAAAGATTTAAATAAAAAATAATGAATGCAAATATTTTTGGTTGCATAAAACGTTTACGCAAAGTTTTATGTTAATTTTTCTGATTCAATCGTTATAGATATAATTTAGTATTATTTAAAAAAGGAGCAAGGTTAAAATTCCTTACCGTTTTATTTGTGTCAGGAAAATGAGTAAAATCAGCAAATCCAGTTAAATTTGAATCTATTTGCATATCGAAACTTGTTTGTTGAATAATCTAGATATTAAGATTAAAGTACATATGGGGAAAATCAAAATACATTTGTATAATCAAAATTAAAAATTAACTTACTTCGGGTTGAGTTGGATGATTTCCAGTAAGTTTCAACTTATTCAAATCTAAACTGCTACTGCGAGCGTGACGTGGTCTGGGTGGTGGTAATGGTGGTGGTTCTTTTTTATTTGGTAGCGGCAAATTATTAACATTTGCAATACCAGAGCCTGACGCAGTAATAGTTGTCCCTGCGGTTGAGGGTAAACTTCCGTCAAAAACATTTGAATCACCACCACTTCCACTCCCTATGCTTGGTTCACGCTGTGGAGGAGGTGGAATCGCACCAATATTTTTACTAGGCAGTTTCTTGGCTTGAGGTCTCTGTATAGCTCGGAGATCATTTCCTTGTAATGACTCTCGGTGATGAGTTACTCCTGAACTGTGATGATGATGTTGTTGCTGTTGCTGTTGTTTCGGACTTGATTCATTTTCACGGATTGTTCCAGAAGCTGGATCATAAACAAAATTTTCAGACTTACGTATTGCACGACTAGATACTAATTCATCATCATTAGCTTCAGGACCAACTAAAAAAAAAATTTATTAATAATTACTTCAGTAATTATTACAAAAAGTTTTATGTTATTTAATTACCAACAGGGGTTACTCGAAGTGGTACTGGATGTAAAATTTGTGGGTCAGAAACAACAGCTTGTGCAGTTCTTTGCATATCAAAATTAACTGGTTTTGGACCCGGACTAGAGACATTAGAAGTTGGAGATTCAGTAAATTTAGTCCACTCCTATAATTGTTTTTATGTTTTTAATAAAAATCTCATGTATTATTTTTATCGAAATTACTTTATTTTGATTTGTCCATTCTTTCGCTAACTCCTTTATTCTTAAACGAATCGGAGAAACAGGTTCAGCTGGGGGGGTGTTGGAGCTGCTTCTATTTTTATTAGGTTGTGTGGGACTTTTTGCTTTTGATTTATCATGAATTTTACTTGCAGACTTTAAAAGAAAAACCAAACAAATTTAAAACCAAAGTTTACAATAAAATTTTGATATGTTGATGCTTTACCTGCGTTACATTGGATATTGTTGCAGTTTTTGAGTTGCCCTTATCAATTGAGACTTTTCTAACAGTTTCTTTGTTTTCCATATTTGATTTTGCCACAACTGATCCGTCTACAACTGAAGTTTTGGCACTACTGGAATCATCATCATCCAAATGCAATAAGTCAGCTTCCGGGGGTTCATTTTGTTGTGTATGCATACTAGTAGATGATAAAATTGTTGGATGTAAGCATTGTGGTAAAATATTTGGTAATGGAATATTATTTCTTCTTAAAACTACAAGATGCATTGCAGATGTAAATTCTGCTAAACTTAAAGCACCATCTCGCGTTACATCACATAATTGCCAAATATGACGCAATTCTTCAACAGGGATCCGAGATTTTTCAAAAAATACCCTAAATTATAGAATGGTAAGGAGATTAGTCCATGAAAATTACACTTTATAAATAACTATACCTGGCGATATGACCTGATACCAAACCATTCGGATCTGGTTGAATAACTTTAAACTGTTTATGATAATATTCCTTCTGTTCATTACTTATTTGAAATATAGTTTCTAAATCAGTTTCATTATCCTCATCAGAACTATGTCGGTCCGAAGACTCTTCTTCAGTTCCAAGTAATTGCCTATGTTCATCTCCTAATAAACCCTGCCACAAAGTTTCTTTTGCCCAAGGTCTTTCCGCTACGCTATTCGTTGGAGTTGGACTGTCACTGTTTGTACTCCAAGCTTCAGGGGAGCCTCCTCGGTGTCGATGCTGAAACATTTTCTAATCAATATGGATTTCGTATAAGCATATATAAAAAAACATGTAAAAAGTGGAAAGTAATAAGAATAACAACACAATACAAGTTACAAAGTGAATATTTTTTTTTGTTCATTTTGCAATCATTTTAAATTACATTTACTCTTCCACCGGAATCGTTATGTTCTACTTCAGAATCGGTACTTAATAGTTCAGATGCCGAAGGTATGCTAGCTTTTTCACCTCCAGGTGCAGTTATCACAGTTGCTCTATTAAGCCCAACTAAACTTGGACTTCGGTTATCGCGTTGTTTTGCTCTTGTTTCATTATTTATTGTTACTAGGCCATTTGAGTCCATAATTAACGATGATGTTGAACCTCCAGCACCACCACTAGCACCAGAAACTGATGAATTTGAAGAACTAGCTAATTTATTAAGAGTTGCATTTGAATTCGAAATTCCGCTGGATATTTCGGCTGATGATTGTCTTCTCGGCGGTAAAAGTGAAGGCAGATCTTCTTTCCAGCTAAATCTTGGCAAAGGTAAACTAATTGATGACGAAATTATCTCAGAACGCAAAGGTGTAATAGAGGCTTGGTACGCAGCTATCAATTTCAAACACGAATAAAATTGTGACCTTGAAATATGAATGGCCGTCTGTGGTATACCAGCAATTGATGTTATCTATAATAATCAAATGGATTTATGCAAAAAGAAATATAATTTACATGTAAAGAATAGTAAACCCATACCTGCCGTATTGCATCATTTGATAAATTAGCTGATCGAAATAATTCGGTCGCTTTTAAAACTGGAATTTTTCCAGTTTTTTCAACATCACAACAAACAAATAAATCGCTAAAATAACGAGATTCTGCTTCATTCAAAGTAACTTCTTCCATTTTAAAAATAATTATTTTAAAACTTTTCAGTTCTATCAATATGTAAAGGAATTTTTTTTAAATACAAAAATTTTTATTCTGCCTTAGCCTTTAAAGTAAAAATCGAATCGCAAAGTTTTCATAAACTTTACTACGAAAATTTTCCTATAAGAACTTCTCAGCTGTTTAAAAGTTTTTCAATATTTTTAAAGTACTTAGCATACATTTAATTATTGTAAAGTGAATATTCGAATAGTAATGAAAAAAATTAGCTAAATAATTTATTTCTTATATTTCTACAAATTTATCACTTTTAACACTGACATTTATTGAAATTGACACCTGTCCATCAGTTCATGTTTCCATATAAAGAATTGTCATTTGAATGTATTATTTTTTGCTTAAAAAAATCAAATATAGATAGAGCTGTTGCTTTAAAATATTTTAATATTAAGTTTTAATTTTAAGTTTTGAAATGTTTTAAAATTGTATAGTAAAAATTTACAATTTACAGAAATATAAATTGAAAAGTAGATTAAATGAACTTGATAGATAATAAGCTATTTTAAATGGTTTCGACATTTGACTTACATAATTATGCAAGAAATATTTTAGCGACAAATGGCTTCGTTGCCAAAAAATAGTATTTGAATATGACCAGACGATATGCTTCTCTTTTTTATTTTTTATCAAAACATTATGTACATTTTTCAACATTTAAAGAATTTTCTACTCGGTTTTTGTAATCCTATATCAAAATGAGAAATGACACAAAAGTTGTACTTTTTAATTGGTTTTTATTACAAATTTCGTTTTTGCAAGATATCTTGAAAACTTATTGTAGTTTCCGCTTATTTTTTTATGTTAATATTGGTAGATGTGCAAAACATGTAGATTCTGAAATTTAAAGTAGATTTTTTTACCTTCTAAACTCTTATGTAATTATTCTTACACTTAATATTAGATATTTTATTGAATTTTTACTCCACTTAATTAAGTTTACATTATTAGATTGCATTAATATTGTATGCAGCAAAAAATTTTAATATTTTTTAAGTTGCTGTCAAAACGAAATTTAAAATATAATTTGACACTTAAATATATTTACAACGATATTTTTTGGCACCTTTTTAAATAGCCGGCGTCAACACTACTTTTCATCTTTATTATTTAAACTAGTTTTTACTGCATAATGTCAATAGTCAGCTGATCAATGAAGTGGTTGTTTTCTGTAGGCGTAGCGTAAAGATGTGCCAAAAAAAATCTCTAATTAGTCTGTATTGGGATATTGATTTAGGTAGTATTGTGTTGTATTTTGTTTCTGCGAGCAGAATAATAGTAAAATAAAAATAATTCGCAGTAAAATGTTTTGTTTATAATTTTTGCATTTTAAACAATAAAACAAAAGATAATAGTCTCGTAAAAAAAAAAACAGAATCATTGGAATATTTTGTATTCGTTTTGATATTTAAAATTTTCGTTAATATTTCGCATTATTGGAATGCTAAAGTTTACAAAAAAAAAATTGAAAAATTTGTATAGTTAAATGATTAATTTTGAGATAAAAATAAAACACAAAAATAATATAACAAAGCAATAAATTTTTTATGATAAGCGTGATCTTCTGTGATTTTACGATTTTTTACAAAAAGCTGCTAAAAAATCGAATCTTAAATGTAAGTAAGAATTTTATAAAAGAATCTTAAAATATTTTCTATTCTAGGTTGGTACATACATAATAAAATTAATTATTAGGGGATTTGTTTTTCAAAAATAGCTAACATTAATTACATGATTTTCATCAAATGTTATTTAATTCAATTATTTCATTAAGCAAACGTGTATGCTATTAATTATAATGGGAAAAAATGAATGATTACTTGAATAACTCAAAACTATGTACTCTTCCAGTTTCATGTACTATGATGTAACATTAAATTGAATTCTAAAAAATGTAAAAATTTAACAGGATCTCTAGAATTTATCTTGCATTATTTTATTTTGCTGCGCTTTAATATTTTACTTTAAAGAAAATGTTTAATGGAAAAGTGTACATATTTAGTAAATAACTTCATATATGTGTATTAGGTTGATAAAAACACTAAAAGTAATAAGGAAATGCTTAGTACACTTTAAGACCTTGTACAAAATTAAATTAATCGATAATATAGGAGAACGTGGTAATGTTATGTCCTTGGTTATTATGATTGAAGAAAACAAAATTATTGAATTGATTATAATGAAGCAAATATAGTATTCACAATATCTGAAAATGATTACCAAAATAATTGTTTTGATAAGCATTTGCTAACTAACAATACATTCATTTTAACTTTTTCAATTGATTTTGTATTCTTGTGAGGTTTTATATTGCAATGGGTACGTACCCAACAACATACCCACCGCATTTGTTATGTAACATGATTGTTTACTAAAATAACTAGTTTGCCTATACATATTTATTTTAATTTTTAAATAAAAATGTTTTTTTCCAATATTAAAATTAATGCTTTATTTAGGATTAAGTTAGGTATCTAATTTATACGAAAAAATATTATAAATTTGAATTTTAAAATTAAAAAAATGTTAATAATATTGTTATTAACATGTAACTAGATGCGTCACCATTGTTAATGGATAAAAAATATCGGAGATGTCGTTAGGTAATTAAAGTTACTAGACTACTTAAGTAAACACCAGATACTTTGTCTAGGTATACTTACCTATTTATACAAAAGGGAATAAAAATGAATCGTTCATTAATTTAGAACCTTTCAAATCTTATTTTGATTTAGCTCTTCTTTTTTAAAATCAAAATAAAGGGTAAGATGTTCAGTTTCAATGAATATCTTCATATTAGCAAATAATGTGTAATCAAAACTTATTTATAAATATTTTAAGTATTCACATTTAGAGTCAAGAATTCCTGTATTAAAGATAATTTTTGCTCTTATCTTTTAAAATTTCAGTATACAAACTCTTTTACTTCCTGTTTTGTATCGTACATTCTTAAAAAAAACTTCTTAGAGGAAACATTCAACTCTCTTTTACAAGTATGTAGTACTGAAATTCTTGATAAATATTCTTTTATATTTTAATATTGTTATATAGTTAGTCTAGTATAGTTTTTAAGTTTATTTAATTGAATGAATGCGCAAGTACATACTTCGTTTTTTTTACTAAGTTTTATTGTTTTTACGAGTAGCTTCGCAAACGTGCAATTTTAAATTATCAAATTTCAATAAGATTATTAGGTAGATACCTAGGCAAAATAACATGTGATTATTATTGATTTTATTAATTTTTTTTTTTAAATTTAGAACTGACCTCGAAAGTTTTTAATATGTTTTTTTTTTTGAGTAAATGTAACTACTATTTAAATGCGAATACAAAATTTTTAACATTTTATAAATATTAATTTGCTAATGGAATGTTTTTACTATTTTGTTTATGTAAGTAAATTTGTATAATAAACAACTTTATTGAATTGAAAGACACAGTTTTAGAATGATAAATAGGCAGATATTTAGGCAATATCCAATATTGTAGAGATATTGAGTCAAGGAGAATTGTTATATAATTAACTTTTGGCAATTCTGAAATTTCTCGAAATCGAAATATTTATTTCCAATATCTTTTCCACTTTTACCAGAATTTGAAACATACGTTGTAGAAGTTTAGCTCAATATTCAATTGAATTTTTTTAATTGATGGTATGCCTACCTTCTTAAATGGTTGAATCTTGAATAAAAATATTTACTGATGCAAATTGTAACATTATGAATTCCGAAGAACAAAGAAGTTTTTTTTTTTTTCTTAAAACAAGATTTTAATTTTTTTTCTTTAAACAAAATTAATTTAATTTTAATTTATTAATTTATTTTTTTTTTTTAGACAAAACCTTGAGAATTATGAAAAATTTTGCGATCTGGTACTACCACTCTTTTATGAAGAAACGATCAAAAAAGCGCGTTTTAATATTATAACAAATTTTTAATATGACCTTAACGATTTTATATATTTTCTAATAATAATAATTTTATAAATAATTTAATAATAGAAAAAACTGGTTTATACTGATGCTTTTATTAAAATGGAAAGAGAAAAATTTTAAATATTTTTGTTAGTATGTGCAGCCTACTTCAATATTCTTGGAAATTGTAAATATTAGTTTGTAACATTATATACTATGTTTGAGTATATCAGTATTTGAATTTGAGTATTTAGCCAGTATTTGAATTTGAGCATTATTAATTTCAAAACTTTTTCAATTTATTTTTATTAACTTTTTTGAAAAAAAAAACAAACGATAAATCATATCTGATTCAAACACCACTTGATTTGTAGTAAAATTTTACATAAATTTTTGCCATATCAAAGATAATTTGAAATTGAAAAAATCTACTTTTTTTTTTCAAACTTTACGAACAGGAACACATACTTAATAGCTACTAATCCAAATTTTGCACTTATTCGCTTTCATTCAACGTTATTTTTATTTTTTTTTTGTGTGTTTTTATTACACTTTTGATTTTTAATGGTATTAACCTTGACCTTAAATTTTTTAAAATTTCGTTTATTTTATTTCTCTTTCAAATTTCTTTTTTAGTTTTATCTTCTTGAAGATATTAGAGATTCCGTAATTCAATAACGGTATAATTGTGTATACTATAATGAGTATTTATAATATGATTAAAATTAGGATTTTTTTTCACTATAGTTGTGATAGGAAGAAAAATGAATTTGGAATTTTGGATTACATAATTAACAATTAAGTTTGGAAATATTTTGTTAATATAAAAAAAATTGGAATTTTGTTTAAATTATATTGAATGGAATCTCTATAAAACGAACATTTGTACATAACCCCTTTTATTTTTGTTCATAATATACAAATTTCATTATAAAGCCAAGTTTTCAAAACCAAAAACTAAAATGGTATTGTAAAACAAATTACTCACTAGTGATAATTATTTAAGTGATTCCACAATAATGTTATAAATAAGATAATTAGTTATAACAGTAAAGTTTTTTATAACCGCAGAATAACTCGAAGAGGTCAATATTATTAATGAAATGTAAATAAAATCACGTGTTTGTTATTTTTTTTGCATAGTTTTCAAATTTTTAAGTTTTTGTTTTCGTCAATGGATTTTATTATTTTATTTATTTTTTCAAATCTTTTTATTTTTTAAAACCTGATTTAATTATTCTAATTTTAAATTCTTATCCATATGAACTTCATATCAAAGTTCAAGTAATATAAAATGTAAAGCTTTTGATAGGGGAAAAAAAAAATTCAAATTTTTCAATTAAAGATAAAATTTTTATGAAAAGATCAAATTTTCTTCAGTAAGTAACAATGTCTAATAACGATTATATAATATTGTATAATAATAAATTTTTTTTCAGTGTTTATATAAATTATATTGACCCGTATTAATTATTCTTATAAAAATAACAGGTGTTATTTTATTTAAATAAGTTAAAAATTTAAATAAAATTTTTAAAAATGAAACCGTGTTATAATTTTAGAAATGTTTTTAGAATTATTATTGATAAATTTAGAATTTTATTGTCACAAAAATCACAAAATTATGTCAATGAGAAATTAACAAAAAAAAACAAAATCTAGAGTTTTAGAATGACTAATAAGAGTCATTAATATAAAAAATAGGATGAATAAAGCAAAAAAATTTAGATTATCAATATTTTAAGTTGAAATTAAATGACTAATAATAGATTTTAAGTAAGTATTAAGTAATAACAAATTGATTTACTTGATTTTCATATTTCTTTTTCCTTCATATATAATTAATTACTAATTAACCGGGAAATGTAACGTGACTACTTCTCGTTACAAAATTATTTTAATTATTTTGGTTATGGAATATTTATTTGCAAAATAAGAAAAATAAAAAATTATGAGTTGTATAGTTTAATATAAGAAATTTGTGAATATTAACTTAGAATTTTCAATTTTTTTTTTTAAATTTAATATTCTAATTAGATTAAAGTCGAACTGAATGAAAAATTTTACCATTTAAATAAAATTTTGTTAAGCAATGCATGTTTAATTTTACTAATTACTTGACGATAATATTTTTTTTTGTTTATAAGTATGAGATTTAAATAATATAAGTACATAATAAATTGATAAAAGAAATATAAAAAGATTAAAATCATTTAAGATTAAAATTGAAGTACCGATGTATATTAAATGAATTAGTTTATACTCGTATATAGGCGCTAATCAATATTTTCACCGGTATGATATAATATGTCTATATACACTGATTAAATGATCTTCTGATGCGATAGTATTTATGACTAACTTACTTTACTGTCGTGCTTTATTTGCTCGTGATTTTTTATATATGTATGTGTATATGAAAGTATAATAAAAAAAATGTTCAAAATTAAAATTTCAATTGGACAATAAATTTTTATCTTCTGCATTTTTGTTTGATAGCTATTTAATTGTTTCTAAAGAGTACATTCTAAATTATAAAAACAAAGTGTTAAATATTGCAATTATTGCTGAAATATTGCTATGTTTAAAATTGAATAAAATTTTAATTCTTTATAGTGACATCAGGTTGGAAAGAGTTAAAGAAATTTTTAAAATTATCTAAAATTATATATAGTTACTTATAAACTTTGAACCTTATTAAAT